GGTGGAAGTTCCAGTTTCAAATCTTCAGTTTGTTTGCTCTCCACTCTCTCCTACACAGGTGATTGTGAGCCATGTTTCCACAGAGGTGTGTGGAGATTAACCTTGTTTTATAACAGTCTTGGCATTGATCACCTAAAAATTCACTGGCTTTGCTGCATAGTCAAAGAGATAGTTAAAAAAACATACCATACTTTGCATTTGTATTTAAAAAACTTTAAAGTAAATTGGAATGGATGCTATTAATTTATTTTAAGCTCTATTAATATGAATACTTAACATCTCTTTGGGGTTGTATTAATAAATATTAATTGAAAAGTGTAAAAAACAGGATGAGCTTTTGACAATAACATTGTATCTTCAAAAATGTAGCAGAGTTTGGTCAGACAGTGACGTGATGTCGTCGTTGAATTACCTTATTGTAGCTCCTTTAGCAACGTGAAAGGAGTTGTTTCACAACGTAACTTTTATGTCTTTATTTCTAGGGCCGCGTGTTGCATATGTTTCAATATTAACCGGGAAACTATAACTGCAGTTTCAGGAAGCGAGGCATCATCACACAATGTGTGAATAGTCATTATAGTGATTTAAGTAGACAGTTACAACTTTCACTGTTGTTTTTAAAATAAACCAAAGCTGCCTGTGAATAGTAAAATATGTTAATGCTTGAGACACCGTCTAGAAACTCTTAAATCCACCAACTTTGAAAGTTCTAACGCCATATATACTTTAATTAGCATTAATAAATGGTGCTTCTAAATTTGCTATTTTTCAGACGCCAGTCAGTTGTGTGTCTAGTAGCATTGCATTTTTGTATTTCAGCTTCCTAAACTCTTTGAGATATTTTAGATGAGCTCTGCAAAAAAAATAAAAAATTGGAATTGGGAGATTTTCCTCAAATAATTTAAAGTTAAGTTCCACATAAAAATACTGAGCTGTGAATATGCTGGGGTCCACTCTCGGATAAATCAGCCCTAATTTGCATTTTGGATGTTTGAGGCTTAATTATATTCATAGAAACGACTCTTCTGTGCTGCAGCTTCTTAAAGTTTTGAGTCTTCTCTCACTAACAGCTGTGATTAAAGACTTCTTTTTCCAGGACAAACTAATAACACGTTCACAAACCAGAAGTAAAATCCATTTAGCTTTTTACTGGATACTCTGGTCAGCCTGAAAGTCGGTCATTTCAAGTCACCTTCTGGTTTAATTTTGAAGCATCCTGAAGCCATCTTGCAGTATTTACTTGCATTTGTTAATGTTTCTATTAACATTTATGAATCCTTGTTTTATCATTGCAGTTTTTCTTGAAAATTTAGTCGTCAAAATGCAGACGATCAAATTATTTTTTAGGATTTACTGACTTTTTTCCATGACTTTTAATTATAACCAAAACATTTTGGTGTTTTGGAGTGCCATATAAATGCCACAACAGAAATCAATAAAAAAAATTACTTGTTGCTTAAGCAAAAGCTTTTGTTTAAGTGAAATCTCCTAATTTTAGTTTCGCCTTCCTTTAAGACTTTATAGGTGTGAGAGGAAACCAGCAGGACCTCTCTCTGGGTGTTGCATCTGTCTCCCAGGTAGCAGCTCAACAAAACAAGGCCTTGCACATTACCATCACGATTCTCACCTGTCAAAATTAAAGGAGCGAGACGGCAATAGAAAAAGAGAGGGAGCGAGATTGTTGGCTATACCAGCGAGGCATGCTTCGCTCAAGGCTACATCTTTCTTTCAGCTCGCTGGTCTCGCTCTCTGTTACTCAGCAGCAAGAAGTAAAGAAGAAAGGTGTGACTAAGAGCTCACCACACTGAAACTCTTTCCTCCTCTCCCTAAAGAAAAACAGTTGTCCAGGCATGAAAGTACAGCGGGTTAAGGAGACACAAGGGTACATACGGAAAGGGCAGTCTGCAACAAAAAAAGCAGAGGATAATGTTGTAACCTGTTTTGGCTCTGGGGAATGTGAAAAGATTTAATTTTTGTGCAGAGAAAATGGTTAAATAATGATATTGTGAAACCTAGTTGGTTGCTGTTTTTTGGGTTTTCTTCCATTTTTATTATGATCTATTAAAAAAAAGAATAAAATTTCCCTAAGATCTCTTTTTGTCCAAAAAATGAATGCATTAATGCTCATAAATGACCTATTTTACTTTGTTGAGATTTTGTTTGTATCTTTTTTGTACCAAGAGAGACAAGTTGTGGCCAATAGAGTTATGTAACGGTAGCCGAAGGCATTATTATTATCATCATTATAAGGCGCAATTATCCTGTAAGGCCAAGTCACTTTACTGTATATGTATTTTCTACATAAGCTGTGATCATTTAAATGTCAAGGTTCTCTAACTGGTTTCCCCTTAGGGCTTAAATCATGTCAAAATATTTGTATGAAACACTTACGTGTTTCAAAAAAACGTGCAGCTAAGTAGGATACATTTAAAAATGTAGAAAATACTCAGGTGTATGTGCATAAAACAGACTATTTCAAAGAAATTAGAAAAACTTCAGTGACGTTACCATTTACTGAGTTTGTTTGGAGCAGTGATGGTTATAAATAATCAGGTCTGCTGGGAGGATGAATCTTCTGTAATGCTCCTTCATTCACCAAGGATGGAGCAGTGAAGGAGCTCTCCATTATGCCGACTGGCGTCAGAGAATTTGAGAAAGGAAAGACCAAAGTTGGCTCATGCCGAGACTATAACCTCATTAAACCAGGTCCAAGTAACTTGTTTTATTGCTCTTAGCGGTGCAGCTGCATTACGCATCTCCTCCTGCTGTGGATATAATTAAAAGGAAGCAGCTGAAATGAGCCATCCATGAACTTCACAGCAGTAAATACAGTGCCATGATGACCAGGCCCTCTGCCAAGAAAGATGCACCTGAGCTGGGCTTCCCAGGTGGGAGAAGCACACACGCCTCTAATTTGCACAGATAGGCTGGTTGCTGGGAGACAGAGTGCAAGTTGTGAGTTTTTAATGTGCAAAATATATCTATTATTGTATTCAGTCCAGGCTTCAGAGCCTTGTTTTGATCAGCTCACTTCAGTGAAAATCACATTTTGAATTTTGTGCGCTTGATTCCTTTGACTATGTGATATGTACATTTTACTGTCCCAGGTTAAAACTTTTGGTTTTGCACTTAAAAGTGAGTAGCGCTTTGCTCAAGGCCATTATTGTTTATTAAGAATGCATTTCTAGCCAGTTTTTCAAAATAAAAGAAGCAGAATAACACATTTTATTCTAATGGAGACTACTCAAGGATCTTAAAATGACTTGGTGTGGATGTAGCTGTCAAATGACCAGGTCAGTCGTATTATTATATTGGGAGGTTTTGGAGAAACCAGCCATGATTATGTTTGTACGGTGAGAAAATGTTTCTAAATGTTTTTTAGGGTGGTTTAACTATTGCTGTTACTTACAATTACTTAGCTAACATTGCACAAAAGAAGGAAGTTGATTTTCTCAGAAAATGTTTTGTCAAACATGGAACTTCTTTAACCCAGATGATTAAACTCTTTCCATGGGGTGTGTCCATTAAGTGTCTGGCTAGTGACAAGCACTCCCAGGTGGGGTTGCACACTCAGAAAGACAAAGGTGTAATATACCGGCGATTTTGTCCACCCCCCATCTCATCTGTCATCTCAGCCTTTCACCAGGGGCTGTTTTCATTTCTGGGTACTCATTCTCAAATACCAATGTTGAATGGAAACATTTCTCAGCCTAAAGGCTTTGTGGTTGCTCAGCTGCCCTCCTGCTCATCCAAATCCTCCCATCTATAATAAAATAGATTAAAATAGCCTGGAAAGTAGCAGTATTATGATATACATCCCTGTCCGTACTTGTAGGTAAGTCACCGTGGGCGTTTTGGTGGGGATTTTACTGGGTTTGGACGCTTCAATTTATCACAGTGCCCACTCATTTAGGAAGCACCTGCAAAAGCTAGCTGTGTGGGTAAATCTCTGCGTCAGTCTGGTTCCCTTGGAGGAGGTAAGTCATGAAGTTCAAGTTTGATCAGGTGTGTTTTCCATTAAACCAGAACTCAGAGAATGAGCTGAATCTTAGGGATAGTCCTGTGTTCAAAACAAGGGAAAATATGATTCTTATTCCAATCACCACCTGGCTGCCTTGCCCTTTTGTTTCACCTGACACAACGCCATTGGAAAATAACACTCCTATTACCTTAAGTTGCTTTTGACGACGTAACATACACTATTTGTTTAATAGATAAGCCTGATTTCCTGGGGAAAATTTTGGACATGTTGGCAAACGAACATACTAACAGTTCTGCAGACCACACACATTCTGGACACAAATGGTTTACATTTTGACCTCCAGGTTGAAGTGCTACAGAGCTCGGTTTGCAGAAACCAGCCACCACAGAGAGCTTTAAGAAGGGAAATATTTGGTGTACACACTGCAAAAACACAAAATCTTACCAAGTATTTTTTAGTCTAGTTTCTAGTATAGGTAACTTGGTACATGTAAAATAAGACAAAATTAACTTAAATGTAACTTTTCAAAAGTAAATACATCTGCCAGTGAAAAAATAAATTTTTCCCATATTGTAAGTTAAGATATCTTGTTCCACTGGCAGATTATTTCACTAATAACTAGTACTTTTCCATAAATGTTAAGGAATGTTTTACTTAAAACAAGCTAACAATAATAAAGTTTAGTGTTGTCAAATTTCAGTACATTTTCCCCATGTAATTATTGACATAAGTTTTTGTATCTTGCTGAAAGGTTATCTGAAAGCTAGTTTTGTCTTATTTGAAGTGTATTGAGATATTTGCTCCAGAAACTAGACCAAAAATACTTGGTAAGTTATTGTGTTTTTGCAGTGCATGATCCTTGTAAATGAAAACTTACAATCTCCAGATCAAGACCTTGTTTCTGGTTACTGGAAACACAGTAAATAATTACAACCTTTGTCGTATTAAATTGGTGCACCTGACTATGGAAAAATAAATAAAACCTCATTTTTTCCTTTTCTCTGTGAATCTCTCTCAGCTCCTGGAATATGTTGGCAAAGGAAAGAGCATCATGGACGTTGGTTTGGCTCAGGCCCGCCAGCCGCTCACCACCCGCTGCCACTACTATGAAGTGGAGATAGTTGATGCTGGGGAGAAGTGCTACATCGCCTTGGGCTTGGCAAGAAGGGTGAGCTGTCAAAGTAAATGCTTGGATAACTTCAGACACACCTGTGCTCAGAGGGGTACTCTCCGTACTCTCCTTTTCTTTAGCATTTGGCCGTAGCATTTTATTTCTACTTAGTGCAACAGAGTGAAAACAGTGTAGCTCAGCGGAGTTTAGTTATGTACATTTCTTCTTCCAACACTATAAAGTCTTCCTCAGACTTCCTTGTGGGAAATTTTTGCTTTCCATTTCCAGGGAATGGAATTCTCTCCTTTCACATAAATAAAAAGCTGTTGGGTAGTGAGGGTAGTTGTCTTGGTGGTTTTGATTTAAAAAACAAAAACAAAACAAGCATATCAATGTGCATGCAGTGAAGTAGCTCTTTACCACCACACCAGAAGCAAAGTTTTTATCTTATAGATAATTACATTAAACTAGATGAGTGCTTCTTATTAAAATATCCAGAATGTTGTAAAAAAAAAAAAGCAGAAATATCTCGAGATCTGAGTCTATAAATCTCGACTGAAAGTATTTACTCTTAAAGTGAAGAATGATTAGAAGCTGATAACTCAGAAAAACAAACTGCGCCAATAGCAAACAGTGATGTGAATAAGCAGCCACTTGAATTAAAGGAACAGTTCACTCTTTCTTAGAAGTCAGACCAGACGTCTTTGTGTTTGATTAAAAGTCAAAGCCACATAATTTCTACGAAGTTACCCAACTAATCACAGAAATGTCGCTTTTTGTCATCTTCACAAACAACTTCTTTGTTCTTTGAAAGCTAAACACACACATTCACTCCTTGTATTTTAATGTTTACTTTAGGTTACCTGCAGCCATTCCTTCGAGCTTAGAGCTCAGCACTATTTTACTTTATTAATTCTCGTGGTCCTTTTCCTGCTGCATCTGGCTCCTATTATAAAGCCATCAAGGAAAAGTGGCGTGAAAGTTGCAAAACAGTTTCCAGGTTTTCCAAGTAATCCGTTTCACCCAGCATGCAAACAATACAGGCTGGAATCTTAACACAAATCACTTTCCATTTAACCAGGAACTCCCTGCCGCTGTTTCTGCTGGACATGTTGACTTAAGGCTTTTTTTCCCCTATTTTTTTATTTTTTATTTTTGCTGCTTAACTTTCTGAATAGAGGTGGCCAGCTCAGCCTTTGGAAATATTGCAACAAAGGTTGACAGATAAATTTGGACCACACATTCATGCAGGAGTCAGAGCAAGCTCCAAATGATCCAGACTTTCCTAGCCATTCCCCCCACCCCTCACACCCCCTCACACCATTATCTTGTCAAATTGACAAATACCTGCTAACCTGAAGCCAGTTTCACTCATTATGTCAAACAATGCCTATCCCAGTCCTCCACCCTAAAGCCTAATTACTCATGGACTCAACTGACAGCCCAAATGGGTTTGGTACGGTAAGGAGGAATTGGAAATAATTCAATGACCTGCCATTCAAAAATACAACCTCTTCCATTTTATTTCCATATCTCCAGTTGCAATAAACTAATGCTTTCTATGATTTGGCAGTGTGAATACCCTGAGCCCTCACATCCACAGCTCAGTGTGTGCTCATGCAGAAGTTCAGGTTTCATCCAGATCTCGTTGAGAAGCAGCAGGAAGGTCCAGCTCTCCGCTATAAATAAATACCTCTTTGACACCTGTGTAAGAGCGAGGCTGCACATGAGGCAGAACAGGAAGATGAAGTGCCATGTGGAAATGGGTTTTGTTTACGGCACATTAAGCGTTTCAAATGAGGCTGCAGGCTTAGCACTGAGGTCGCACTTGTTCAGTTGAAACCAGAAGTTTACATACACTTCCTCAGAATTTAGTAGTGTTTATTTGGCACTTGCAACACTGCAAAAACACAACATCTCACCAAGTAATTTAGTCTAGATTCTAGTGCAAATATCTTAGTTTACTCTTATTTCAAGTGTACTAACTTAAAAGTAACTTTTCAGCAATATATAGGAGCTTGTTTTAAGTAAATGATTCTGTAATATTGATGAAAAGATACTCTTTCCACTGGCAGATTATTTCACTTTTAACAATGAAATAATCTGCCAGTGGAACTAGTACTTTTTCATCAATATTAATGAATTATTGACTTAAAACAAGCTCCTATATTTTGTTAAAAAGTTACTTTTGTCTTGTTACAAGTGTATTAAGATATTTAAACTAGATACTAGACCAAAAAACTATACTACGATCCAGGAGCGCCATTTGTTTTTTGGGGCACTGATTGACTGGAAAACTGTTGATGCTAGTAGTTCTTGGTACCACAGGTGAGTGGTGGAACAGCTTGCTCAAAGAGTTGATTGGTTTGACACACCGCAGTGTGAAACAGAACTGCAGTAGCTGAAAATGAAACAAATGTTGGAATTTTGGTCTCCAATCGAACCGGATCTACTGGAATATTAGGTGTGAAAACACTCTGAGTGTTTCTTTCCTCTGCGCCATCGAAGACATGGTACTACCATGACATGAGTTGCACCAAAGTTGGTTCTAAAATGCAGCGTTAAGCAGTAGGCATGTCACTTTAAGCAATAAATCAATGAATTGCACAATAAATTAGAACAAGCTCAATAATTTCCATTTTCATGATTTATCGATTTCTCTTTTCTCTCTTTCTATCAAAAACTGGATGATGAAAGTCTTCAGTCTGGTGCTTTGGTCTCTACTAAGCTACTCTCCTTTTGTTTACAGAGACTTCATTATTTATTTTATTTGGTGTTAGGTTTATTTATTTTGGATATTTAAAATGTCTTTCAGTTCCATTGAAATGTTCAGTAGAATTAGAAGTTTATTGATCATTGACAATATTTTCTTGCTTTATTATGCCATTATTACCATTATATTACTTTAAAATTGTCTCAAAACAACAATATTGACATTTATCACAATAACTTCTCAATTCTCAACATTGAGACAACATTTTTCAAAGCATTACAACAACAAGAAACAATGGTAGTATCCTTAGCATGAAGTTTGCTTTCATGATTTCAAATGGAGAGTACTCAGTGTTTGGACATGATGTTGTGTTTGAGCAATAGTTTGGATAAAATTACACAGCCTAATCTTCCCTGCGATCCTTATCTGCAATCCTGTCAGCAGCAGAGCAAATTAAGTAAGTTGTCTGTTTTTCTTTTTCCGCCCTGCATCCATAAAACTTTAAGGAAACGCCAACACAGATGCTTACAGATCAGAGAGTCATTGTTATGCTGTGGGGGCCTGGAGGTTTTAGCCTGATGACATGAGGCTAAACAAACAGACCTGCATTAGTTCTCCACATGGTCCTTGCCCAACCCCTATAAGTTTGGCACGTACAAACAGAGCCCACTGCTTCACCCTCCCATATAGTGTTCCTTCAGCACACACAACATACTCTCACGTCTGTGGTAATACCTGGCTTAAGCTTTATTTTTAGACCCCTCTGTGATATGTCAGTGTGATAGCTGCAGTCGATGATTTGTATCTCCTTCCACATGGTTTTCCTCTCAGCCCGCACCTTCACTGTCACAGGTTTTTCCCCTCGACCTGTTTACTCTTCCACAGTGTGGAAAGCTCAGATTCCACTTAGATGGGATGACCTGATATTGGAGGTCCTGCTCCACCAAGCTGTGGATGCCACCCAGGACTGCCATTCTTTTGCATTCCTGCTAGCAAACAGGTGTCGGACTGGTGTCGGACAAATCATCTCCAGAACAAAAGCCAAAGCCAATGGGACAGTGTCATTATCCACAGTGAGACGTGTCCAGTACCTACATGGCCCGAAAGGCCAGGTTACGGTTTCCAAATGCACACAGGGACAAAGAAACTTCATTTCTGGAGAAACTTCCTTTATTTTGATGAAACTAAAGTGGAACTGTTTGGACATAACGACCATTGTTATCTTTAGAGGAAAAAGGACGATGCTTCTGTCATCCTAACTGTGACACACGGCGGTGGCAGCATCTTATTGTGAGGCTGTTTTGCTGAAGGAGGAACTGGTGGACTTCATAAAATAGATGTCACCATGAAGGAAGAACATTATGAGTAAATATTGAAGCAACATCTAAAGGAAGATTGGTTTTCCAAATGGACAACAACCCTCAGCTTTGGGCCAAAGTGGTTAAAAAGTGGCTTAAGGACAATAAAGCCAATGTTCTGGTGTGGCCACCACAAAGCCTTGTGGGAAAATTGGAAAAGGTGTGTCTAAGAGAGGCGGCCTTCAAACCTGACCCAGCTCCACCGGTTCTGTCAGGAGGAGTAGTCCAGAACTCCAGCAACTATTGAGAGAAAGTAGTTGAAGGAAACCCAAAACATTTGATCCAATTCATATGTTTTGCTGAGGAGGCGTATGTAAACTTCTGAATCTTCCTCTCATTTTTATGGCTTTTGGCAAATGGAAGTAATTTTGGTGATTCCAAGTGACCTAAAGCAAGAAAATTTTGGTCTGATTAAACTTCAGGCATTGAGAAAAAAAAGATGGATGTGTCTTTTTATTCCGTGTATTTAAACTTCTGGTTGGGTTTTTCTGCACCTATAGAGAGTTCTTATTTAATGCATAAAGCACATCAAGACAGTAAAGTGATGTTCACAACAGTTACTACAATGATGGTGATGAGAACAGACATTTAATAGCTGGTTAGAGTTCTGCGGTCTGAACAGAATCATTATTGGATTTTCAAACCTTTTTTTTTTTTTTTTTTTTTTCTTGAACCGTTTCTCCAAATTACAGATTATATTGGTGTCTCAATCAGTTTGCAAACTCTTGAGACGCTGCTCTTCTCCACATGGAGAGCCGGAGGAATCCTCGGGCTTGTGGTTAAGAAGCAGCAGACTTGGAGGATGAAGAGGTTTTAGGGTTGCAGCTGCATTCCTGTGTCTTCTTGTCTTTGTCTACTGATGTCTTACTCTCTCTTCTGTCTTTCTTTCTTTCTTTTTTTCTTTGCATTCCCATTTCTTGCTAACAGATTCCCTGCCGTGTTGTCAGATAAAATCCATGACGTTCCCTTGAAATGTTGGCGACCTTAATTGTAATTATTTAGTCATTCTTTTGTTGATTTTCCATCCCAACACAAGTGCTAATAATAATAATAATAATAATAATAATTTCACCTGCCTTCTTTGTTTTTGAAAAATTAGTCTAACTTCTCCAGCTTTTCTGGATGTTTGGTTAATTATTTTCTTTCCATTTGGCCATCCTCTGTGTCAGACTTATCATAACACAGAAATGAAAGGTCTTTTGTAGGCCTCCTGTTCCTGTTAATAATAAAATAAGTGCAGTAGAGTTTACTTAACAGTGAGGACAGAATGGAAAGAAGTAAGTAATTGTTTAGAAAAGAGGGCCAAATGGAAGATGAAAGATCATGAAGTCATTGCCCCGTTAATCTTTCCTCTTGTTCAGTGGTGTGTTTTTACAATAATAGAGGTGCAGCCTAGAAAACAGATAAAAATCGCTGGTAATTACCTCTGAGTCATCCCTTGATCTTATCCACAAGTGGGCCGATGGTTATTTCTCTTGGTACAGAAGAAGCACTTATCCTGCATATATTTGATGATGGAAACAGAGCAAGGCGATCTTGAGAGTCGGAGTAGTTGGTTATAGACTGAAATCAGTTTGCAAATGGTGCAGATGGTGTCCAACATCTGTCCTCGAGGAGCGGTGTCCCATTGATTTTAGATGTTTTGCACCTGAATTACCTAAATTAAGTCAAGTTTATTTTCACTTCATATTTCAGCATCAAGGCAATTAAAAGTGCTTCACATCATAAAAACATCCTACAATCATAATTTATGAGACAAGCAATAAACAATACATTTTGTAAAATGTCGTCATCCAAATCACCTAGGAAATATATATCAAATGTATTTTATCAATGTTTCAGTTGCTATGAATCAAATTCAACTCTAAACAGGTAGGTTTTTAGTCTTGTTTTAAAGGAAGTCAGTGTTTCGGGTGTTTTTCAGTTTACTGGAAATTAATCCAGATTAGAGGAGCTTAAAACCTGAAAGCTGCTTCTCCACGTTTGGTTCTGTAGACCAGAGCAAGAAGACCTGAGAGGTCTGGAAAGTTGAGACAACTCTGGGGACATTAGTCCTTTAATCCTGGAAATGATCTTCAAATGATAGAAGGCCGACTTTTTAACTGTCTTTATGTGGTTCTGAATGTTCAGAGTCCATCAGGCCTAGTTTCAAACCCATAATCCCTTTTTCTACCAGACTATCGGTAGATTACAGAAAAAGCAGGCATCAGATGCATTGATACAAGGATGGTTTGAAATGATGAAGGAGCCAAATGACTGGCGCTCTCATATCTTCTGAGGGTACAGAACCCTACAGTGACCATTTCTTTCGTTTTTCATTCAGGATTATCCCAAGAACAGACACCCTGGGTGGAGCCGAGGGTCCGTCGCCTATCATGCAGGTGGGACTTTCTCATGATTTCTTTCCAGCTTGAGGAATTTCATTCTTATTCCAGTTTAAGAGAAATTAATGAATCAGACTTCCTTTAAACGTCTGAGGATGCTGTTAGATTTTGTTGCTTCCACAATTAAAGAGTAAATTAGGACAAACCTACGACTTTTAAATCACAAGCTGCTAATAAAACATAAAGTGATAATCTTTTCCAAGCTTTCTGGTTTACTTTTACATAGATGGGAAATAGAATCGCATCGACTGATTGACACCTAAGTGCACTCAGATCAGGTTTTAGTTGCTGGACTAAAACTTGACTAAATACAGCAGCTGTTTTCAACTGACCTTGTTTTTATCAAAAATGACTTACATAATTATTTTAAGAAGGTGACGATATCCAAAAACAATTAGAAAATTTTTATATATTGTCCTATTCCTACAAAAAAAATAAATAAATAAATAAATAAAAATAGCCCATCCTTAGTCTATTGTTGAGTAGGTAAAATAAAATGTATATAAAAAAACATTTTTGGTGATTTTAGTTTTAAAATATTTTTTTTGAGCCATAAATACTTTTGAGGCAACAATTTTGGCCCTCATGACAGAAGCTACGTTCACACTGCAGCCTGAAGTGACCCAAATCTGATTTTTTTTTTTCCCCTTTATGCGACCCGTATTTGACCTTTCTTGACAGCCTGAACAATACAGATTGGGTTTTTTCGAAGGCTACCCAGGCTACTTCAATATGTGGTCCATATCTAATACATGTCTGATCTTTTCAAATATGAAAAGAACGGCCAGGATTTATCCAATCTCAACAAACATCACTATTCTACCCCCTGATATCCGTAAGCGGGAAGAAAAACAGCCATGGCGGACCAAATGAGGACTAAGTTGTTAATGTGCTGGTTCTGGTCGGACAACAAGATACACTCCTTCATAAGCATCCACATTTACTTCTGCAATCGTGAGCATTTCTTCTTCTTCTTTTTATGGCGGTTAGTTAAACTCTGAGCACGCTAAGTGTGACTTTATATCGTTTGGAGTTCACACAGGAAATCACAAACAAGTCGCAAATATTTTGAAGTGTGAACGACCACGCAAAAAAAAAGTTATTTCTCAAAAAAATTGGAATTGAGCTTTAAAGCCTGCAGTGTGAACGTAGCCAAAAAGTTAGCACACAAACGTTTAGATGGAATCCTATCAATGAACAACTTCACAGGAATGTTGAGGTCTCAACACAAACAGCTGGAGAGAAAAAAGAAAAGATATTGTCAGGTTGAGATGGTGATCATATCTGGGAAAGCTTGGAGTAAATAAAACCCGTTGTGAGTCATCTGTATTGTCAGAGTTTGTTCTCGTTTCCTGCAGATCTTTGAAGATTATCTCTGTAGGGATCTGAATAAAACATCCACAGCTTCCCATCCCAGGCTTCAGCACCCTTCACTCTCTGAGCTGTGAGATTAGCTGCCCTGATATGGAAGCACCTCATAGGTGGCTGTTATTATTCTGAACAAGATACTCTTCGTACCCTTTATCTCACAATCAGAGGAGGGTAGAAAACCCAAAAAGGAAGAGAATTACTACTTCAACATAGTTGTACTCAAGTAAAAGTAAAAAGTATCTATCCAAGATAATTTAAAAAGTATTTAAGTAAAAAGTTTACTGTTAAATTATCAATCATTTAACATTTAAAAATTACATAATCAGATGGACCAAAATATAGTTAAGTGGAAACTTTGGTATTATAAGGATGAAAATGACAAGTAGAAAAAAATAATAAAATCAGGCAAAATAAATTTTTTCCAAATCAGTTTCTTTAAAAAAAAAAAAAACAAACTATGAAACTACAGGTGTGTGTCTGAATCTGGTGAACTTTTGGTTAAGACATGTTTGCTTTTCATTCGGTGAGTAGAGAATACAGAAATTTTATGCAAGTAAGAGTAGCAATACTTCATAATAAAGTAAAAGTAAAAAGTACAGTTTAATAAAAGTACATTTAAAAAAAACTCCTCAAATAAATGTAATTGAGTAAATGTAACTAGTTACTGCAAAACTCTGCTCACAATGCTTTGCCACATCATGTTAGTCCTTCTCTGTCCAGAGCTTTTAGGAGACACCTGGACTTTATCTCTGTTGATCTTTCTCGATGTAAATTTTTGTTGCTTCTACTCTAAAAATGGCATAAAAGTCACTTTCTGTTTGCTAGTTTTTGCCACGTTATTTTTGGAGGGTGCATCTGTTGTCCGGATCAGCAATCAAGGAACATTTTCCCGTCCACTCCGCGCATTCCCGGCATGTTTTTAGTTCAAGTTTATGGTCTTAAATCCGCCATATCCCATTGCAGATTGCAGTTATGGTTCCGGATGCATTAGTAGTAATAACAGTTGATGCTGGACGTCCTGCCGGAGTCTGCGGATGATGCCTTCGTGCCGAGTGACAGACAGGACCAGTCATTTAGAGGCTGACTGTGCCAGTGCCAGAGCTGTTGCACTGCGGTCCGTCTGGCTTGGCCGCTGCTTACTGGACGCCACAGATATGCGCACGCCCCTGCAGAGCCGCCATTAATCTTATTTGTTAGTGACTGAAAATGATCCGTGTGGTTTTCCATGCCGTGTGTAAGAGGTTTGTCTTCCCATGCTCGGGATACGGTGAGAGCTCCGGTCCGGCGGCTCCTTCCTCTCCTCTCCGCTTACAGCCCAGCAACCTCAGGAATCGCATGTGGACACTATCTGGCAGGGTGGGGTGACAAATACCTAATGCAAAAACAGCTTTATATGCACCGCAGAGCACCCTATCACCACAGCATGCTTCAATAAGAGATTATTAAAACTTTAATTCCCTTATTTTCTGTCTGCTCTTGCTAAAAAAAACTCATGTGTTTGCGTTTCACTCACAAAATCTCACCAAGTATATCTGGTCTAGTCTCTAATACAAATAACTTAGTACACTTAAAAACAGACAAAACTAACTTATAAGTGACTTTTTTGACTTGTTACATTTTTCTCATTTTATAAGTGAAATAATCAGCCAGTGAAACTTTTGACTGATTTAAACGCACACCACAAATTATAGCTCACTTAAATATACATGCACAAAGACAAAATCTTACTAAAACTTTGTCTAAGAGAATGATCTTAAGCGTGTAAATCTATTTAAGCAAATAATTTGTGGTGTGTGATTTAATCTCAACCATTTGCTGCAAAAACGAAAGTAGATTTCATCTACATTTGAAATAAGGCAAAACTAACTTGCAAGTAGGTTTTCAGTAAGAACTAGGAGCTATTTTAAGACAATAATTCCTTAATATTGATTTAAAAAAGTACAAGTTATAAGTGAAATAATCTTCCAGTGGCACCACACATTTTATAGCTAGAACTTTTTAATCAATATTAAAGAATTATTGACCTAAACAAACTACTATTTATTGCTTAAAAGTTACTTTTAAGATGGTTTTGTGTAATTTCAAGAGTACTAAGACATTTGTACTAGAAACTAAACCAAAAGTGTTTTGTCAAACAGTGTTTTTGTAGTGCTTTAATTCATAGCAGATGTTGGGGTTTATATTGATCGCAATAAAATTTTTAATTGAAAGGACTCTTGATTTTACTTGGACTCCATGTGATGCTATTATGACATCCACATAGCATTAAAATGTGGTCCAAATCCATTTTCTTTCCCCAGAGTTTGTTATTTTCACTACAACATTTCCACTTAAATTTATATTTTGGTTTATCTGATGATTTTTGGTACTCTGCCCAGCTCTGCCTGGTGCAGGTTAGCGGGGTCATGGGGCCGTTAACCTTTTTAAAACCTCTCATCTTTGACTCACTCGTGCTGTGACTCAACGCCTGCACCTGAAGCTTTGTCCCTCCCGACCCCCATCGCCCCCATGCAGCCGCAGATAA